CCTGTGGCCTGCTCACAGGTGTGGCAGCCTCCAAGGGCAGCCTTCTGCCCCCCTGTGGCCCTGTGGCTGGCCTGCAGGTGTGGTGGACTCCGAGGGCAGCCTTTCTGCCCCCTGTGGCTGCTCCCCGTGGCAGGCCCTCAGCTGTGGCGGACTCCTCCTGTTGCAGGCGCCTTCATGATCCCGTTCCTCATCCTGCTGGTCCTGGAGGGCATCCCCCTGCTGCACCTGGAATTCGCCATCGGGCAGAGGCTACGGCAGGGCAGCATGGGCGTGTGGAGCTCCATCCACCCGGCCCTGAAGGGCGTAGGTGAGTGCCGGGAGCCGCTGCACCCGACCCAGGGTTCTCCTCGCCAGCCTTGGTGCCCCTTCTCTGCCTTCCCTGCCTGTTTCTGGGGCGACAAATGTCCCAGGTCATCTCCTCCCGGAGGCCTTTGGAAACTCCAGGCCACTCCTAGTCACCAGGAACCAGACAGGCCAGCAGAGGCCGCCCGAGTCCCGGCAACCCCGGGGCCCAAGAGGGTCCAGACGTGGGGGACAGCACAGTGACCCCTCGAGCCCTGCCCATGGCGGCACTTGGTGAGGGTCCAGGAGGGGGCACCAGCCACTGCTGTCCTGGCCTCCTGTGTCTGCTCCCCCACACCTAGTGAGGAGGTCCCCAGCACTGACCCCCCGGCCACCGTCACTCATTTACCAAGAGGACATGGGTCACCAAGACCTCGGAATCCGGGAAGGTGGTGAATGGCGGAGGAGGGGAGGGCAGGGTCCACTCCAGAGGGGGTCTGAGTTCAGAGGCACCTGCCCTGTGGAAGCCTGCAGGCCTGGAGCAGCGCCCACACCCTCGCCCAGCCTCCCCCTGAACCTCCAAAGCCTCCAGGCCCAGGACAGTGGCCCCTGCCTCTCCCTGAGCCTCCAAGGCCTCCCTCTTCCCTCTCTCTTCCTCTCTCTGCCTCTCTCTCTCTTTGCCTATCTCTGTCTCTGCCTCTCTCTTCCCCTCCTGTTCTCTCCCTCCCCATCTCTCCCTCTCTCTTCCCCATCTCTGTCTCTCTTCCCCTCCTGTTCTGTCTCTCTGTCTCTCTCTTCCCCATCTCTGTCTCTCTCTTCCTCATCTCTGTCTCTCTT